GTAACGGGAAGCGACAACTCGAGTATCGTTCTCAAGGATTCTTGTAGTAGATTAACCAATTACAGTAACGAAATATGGGGGGTTTGGTTTTGATTTAGAAAAAGTGATTAAAAATAAAAGTGATTATAAGATAAGTTAATCTGATGTTCGTTCTCCCACTTATCATTGATCATACAATTCCCAAGCCCTAAAAGGATTTCATTCCCTTTCAATTACAATAAAAATTAACAAGTATGATTGTAACTAATATATGATCTATGTTCCTAAATCCGAATTAAGCAAACAGATAGCGCAAACACGAATTAAGCAAACGCGATTAGGGTTAACAAAACATATATCAATCGAATTAATCCAATCCTATTCTATAAAATATGCAATTGAATTAAGAAAACAATAAAAACTGAATAAAACATTCAAAATTATAGATAGAATTGAAAAGGGAATCAAAATTACTTGAAAATTGTATTAACATCAAAGTTAACGGAGATACGGTTACAGCAAATCAACCCGAAGAAGTTAGTTCTCCATGAATTTTCCGTACAAAGCAAAGTAAAATCATAAAAAGAATGTAAAAAGAATAGTAGCGTGGCTGCTAGGTATATGAAAGCATCAACAATTCTGGTTCTAACCCAACTGGGTCGAAAAATATAAAAAAACCCGGCCCAAAACTAAATATTTCTAACGGCAGATTTTGGGTCCTGACTTCAACTAATTATTTGGACTTTCTACACTCCGAATCAGCTTCTATCTCAAACATAAAAGTTATAGCTCTATGTCTTAGCTTTCCAACACCTATCAGAATGCACAAATCTGATTCTCGTAACTCCTGTTATGATCCAAACAATGGACAGATATCAAATAATCACTAAAGCTGAAAATAAGCTGCGAAAATAGATTAAAGGCAAACAAAGACTATATTCTAAAAACATAATAAAAGAGTAAACTAAAAAAAACATACTACGTAAATGCCTAAGTACAAACATAAGAGAATATGCATTAAAATGCACCGATCAATGACCAACTCTTCATTTTCTAGAGGTGTCATGTCCTCTTCTCGGGGCTTTGCTCCTGGCTTTAGATTAACATCATTCACCTGTTGCGCATTTGGCTATTGAACATGGGCCATAACCATATTCACCCTATTCAACCTCAAGATTTCCAAATAATACCTCTTGATAGTCTCCTGATCACCTTGGACAACCCTGACACACTCGTTGGTCAATTGGCACTTCATACACAGATATAATGTAGATAAGGAAGCTCCCAAGAGGTTAAAAAACAAGTCTTCATATGATCATGTAGTATGAGGAGAGGGTATGTAATACCAAGTATCTTACCTTGATCATCCACACGTCTCGAATATGGTCTTTTGGGTGATGTAACCCTTTACTTGTACTTGTTCGCCCGAGAATCCCACTGGTGAGCCTTGGAAAGATTTTATGTCGTCTAGATTCAGGTGGAGTCTCTCAAAGGCATCTTGGTAAAGCATGTCTGAAAAACTCCCTTAATCAATTAGTACTCGCTTAATTTCCCAACCATTTCACCTCACGATTATGACCATGGGATTCTTGTTATGAAGATGGATTCCGACAACATCTTACATAATAAGGTGATATCATTCTCTAGATTTTCCTTCACGTCCATATCAAGGTTGGTAAGTGAACCTTCTAGGGTAAAGATTTGGCGCGCACATTATGCATGAGCGTAACTAATTTCTATGCCCCCGACGAACCCTCTGAAGTTGCACTCACAATATCGTATATTATCCATCTTTTAGTTTTTATGTTTTTGTCAATTATTTGTGTGTCTGTAATTCGTTTGTTATTTGATTATTCGTGTGTTTGTAATTTGTTCATTATTTAATTATTCACATGTTTGTAATTTATTTGTTTATAATTTTATTATGTTCAGTTCGACTATTTAGTATTTTACCTTAAGTCTCCTCATCACTTAATCAATTAAAACGTTGGTCCATGATATCTTGAGTCCTTTTTTGGCCTTGCAAGTTGCTTTTTTGTATTTTCATCAAGTGTTGCTTAAATCAAAAGTTAGAACACTTGAATCAAGGTGTTAAGTTGCTTGATTCAAATCATGTGCATTGTATGATTCAAATCATACAATTTTTGAAGGTTGGAATTTGGTGTTGTGTGATTTGATTCGAATCACAAGTTTAACTTGACTCGAATCACATTCTTCTTTGAAAGAAAGAATTTGGCCCTTCCAAATTTGATTCGAATCATGAAATACGAGTGACTCGAGTCACATCATAATGTGACTCAAGTCACATCATAATGTGACTCGAATCACGGGTTGCACTTGACTCAAGTCATGGGTTTGAATAATGATTCGAATCATAAACTCAAAATTCCAAATTTTCACCTTAGATTTAAACATTTGTTTCTTTGATCCAAAATAATGAATCTCTCATTATGAACTTTTTCATAATGAAAGAAAGATGAAAATTTTAGACAAAAACGTCAATTTGTCTTTTCTTCTCTAGTGTGTCTATTTCTAACTGTCATACCCTCACTTTTATCCTAACATTCATTCATCATACATTTGCATTAGCATACTTTGATCATTGGTTCCCAAGTATGGTGATTCATAAGTTTGAGTATGATGAATTCCCCTTTGATTGCTTTCCTAAGGGTTCTCACCAGGGTCCCCTTTGTTTTCTATCTTGGTATCTTTGTTCTTATGCTTGTGGCTTTTGTAATTAGGGTTTATTCATTCTTGTCATTCATTAACATATTATCTAACCATTATGCATTCAAAAATACCAAAAATATTGCATTTGTTTCTCTTTTTTTTCATTAGGTGTGCAAGATTGGATCAAGGTGCTCATGGTTTCAAACCAAGTCCAATTGGAAGGCAAGTGCCATTGTGATCAAAAGGAGGCTCGTATGCTCATCGTCTCAAGGCATACTCATTTTGGTTCATGAGGTTTTTATTTTATCAAAGAAACTTCAAATGTGCATTTTGGGTCATCATTTCTTAAGTGACAAGAAATTTGCAAAGGCATCCATCATGGTCCAACACCTCATTTTAAGATTGACTTATGTTCGGTGCAACATGGTCCCAAGCAAAATTTCATTCAAAATCAAGTTTAGGCATCACTCAAGTGGAAAAGGTACTTTATTTTGGGCTTTTGGACCGAAGGTTCGAGTTTAGGTCATTCATTCCAAAGTCATGCATTATGAAGTTTCCCTTAAGTGCTACCAAATGCTATCATCACACAAGCCTAAGGATTTCCTCAAGCAAGGCCAATCAATTCAATTACAATTATGGTTTTGTTAGCATGAATCACTTTAATCAAGTTGCATAAATGTTGTCATCCAAATTTCAAATGTAAACAAGACCATGGTTATCTTAAGTACAAACAAGAACAAACATGGTGAGATCAAGAACTACATGGTCATTACATCAGTAGTGGCATCATCGTCCAATCCATAAGCCAAGGCAAGAGAGGCTGCCACGAAACAAATCTGTTGCAGCACCATCATCTGTTAACATGGAAATACAAGCTCAAGCAAACCACACCATCATCATCATTAATTTAAGCAAACTAAAGGCATTGTTCAAAGTAAACATTTAGGGTGAAAATTACATCATTAAGGCCCAAACAAGTTGCAATAAATACAAGGCAATAGAATTATCATAGCATGTCTAAGGTTGAGATACAAGTTGCAAGCCCAAGTTGCATTACATCGAAGTTACAATCTAAATACAAAATGCAGCCAGCACCATGTGATTCAAAACACAGCAAGATAGAAAAGCATTACAATTCCCTACAAACTTCCATAGTAGAATTGATCTCAAATTCTATTTACCAATCCACACTTCCATCATTCCATAAAATCAAAGGCATTGTTCACATTTTCTGCTCTCAAATTTTTTATACACATTTCTCTCAAAATTTCATTCATCTTCACGTTATTCTTCACATAAATAATCACTACTGCATCACCTTCACATTTCTCGTTCAATCTCAATTGATTAATGCTCATAATCACCTTCAATCCTCACCATAAACTCTACATAGAACACAACAAAACATCACAAGAAGTAACAAGTTCAGAACACACCACAACAATTTATAACGCAAAGCCAACGACAACTTCAAAAGCAAGCAGAAGAAGAAGAAGAAGAAGAAGAAGAAGAAGAAGAAGAAAAAGAACGTAGTGAAGAGTTTTATACCCGAATCTTCAATCGTCGTGCAAATCGCGTCGCCGAAGGTAGCATTTCCTTTCTTCTTTTTTTCATTTGAGTGCTTTTGAGTGAGATTTGGAAGAAATTATTTTTGGATTTGGAAGGAGAAGAATAAAACAAGCAAGAACTTGTGATTTATGGTTTGGATTGAGCTCTGTCGCCGCCGTCGATGAACTCTGATGCGCGCGGAGTAGTTATTTTTCGGCGAGTGAAAGAGGAGAGAAGAAACGTGTGTTTTTGCTCAACATGAGAAGTTGACTTGTTCTGAACTTTGTGTGCTTCATTCTATGAGCTGATGATTTTACCCCATACCCCTACCCTTATACCCCCACCCCTACACTCAAAAATATTAGACCAAAATACCCTTATTTAAATATCTATAATTTTAAAAAAATTTCAGTTTCACTTCATTTCCACTTATTTCCATTTCAAGACTTCCGGAGAGCTCTTCATCCATTTATAAACCGGAACTCTTATACCAACTCTTCCAGAACACATTTGTTTTTCAATACATACCTGAACTCTAAGAGTAAGTCTTCTGGTTTGTATTTTGTTTTTGTTTCTTCACCGGAACTCTTTCCTAAAGACTTCCAATTCACAAAAGTTTGAGTTTATTCACCGGAACTCTTTCCTGAAGACTTCCGGTTCACAAAATTTTGCGTTTCTTCTCCGAAACTCTTTCTTGAAGACTTCCGGTTCATTGTTTTTTTTTTTTTAATTTTCAATTTCTAATTATATTTTTTTATTTTTTTATTTTTTTTTAATTTTTAATTATATTGATTTTTTTTTCAATGGTGCGCACACGAGGCAGAGATGGTAGGATCCCGCGTAGACTAGGACGGGGCGAGTCACCGAGAATGGCTGAAGAAGAGCATTTTGATGCATCTGCATCAGCATCCGAGCCGGTTGGATATCCAGGAGGACCGTATGATACATCTCTGTTAGTTAAGTACGAACAACATGTTTCATACCATATATGGTTCGGTGAGGTAAGTAAACGAAAATTATTTAATATTGAATGAAATTTGAATTTTTAATATTGAATTTTATAATATTTTTACTTTTAATTTTTTTCAGGAGAGAGGGTCGAAGAAAGAGTTAAAGGTGGTGGGACATGGGTTGAAGTTGATTGAGAGGGTTCCACTACAGCTACCCAGAGAGATGGAGAGCTGGATATCTAGGTCTGGTCTAGCTTCACTCCAGAGAACTAGTTTAACAAAGATAGACACAAACCTAGTTTCCGCTTTTGCAGAGAGGTGGCATCTAGAGACATCTTCATTCCACATGCTGTTTAGTGAGATGACGATTACTCTAGATGACGTATCTTTCCTGCTTCACTTGCCCCTTAGGGGAGTCTTCTGGAGCCCTCAAGATATCAGTGAAGCGCTTGCTGTTGAGTGGGTTGTTGATTATTTAGGAGTGTCACAGAGAATAGCACAGCAACAAGTCCGTGAGTGCAGGGGTTCCTACTATAAGCTGGAGTGGTTATATGATCGGTTCGTAGAGCACAGAGCTGCATCTCGATGGGATTATGCCACTAGAGCTTATTTGCTGATGTTAGTGGGTTCCACTATTTTTGCGGACAAGATGTTTATGCTTGTCGAGGCACGATACCTCTCACTGTTTATAGACTTGTGTCGCTTGCGCGAAAATAAGGTGCCGGCACAACAGAAGAGTCGCCACCTTTCGTTATTTATCCCTCAGAGCAGGAAAGGAAACGATCGGAAAAACCTGAGGAAAAAGGGTAAGACAAGGTCATCGCAACCATTGTCTGGGTTCGGGAGTCGGTTACGCAAGGGGAAGGTATTAGCACCCCTCACGTCCGTCGTACTCGACGGGATCCTCGCTTGTTGTGTTTACTTGGACGGGTTGGTTTTATTCTATCTACATATCAAGGCTGGCTGAAAAAGAAAAGGAAATGACTCGACAAAGCGTCGCACTTTATGCCTACGTATTCTCATTAGAGAACGAGAAATAAGAGTCAACGTAGTTCGGTCTACGAAGGATTATGGGGGAAGGTAGCTCGCCAAGACATCGCCATCTTGTGCCTACGTACTCTCAACAGGCATGAGAGATCAGAGCTCACGTAGTTCGGGAAACTACGGTTATTTCATGTCCTTTACGAAAGAAGTGTTTTTATCGTGTTTGCAATTTCAACCGCACTAGAGACTATGACCTGAGAGTGAATGCGTCGCATGTCACCCAGAGAGTACCATACTAAACATCCAGACTGTGGAAAAGAAACTCTCCCATAATCCTTTCTCTGATAGCTTAAGGCTCGTAACGTACGAAAGAAATCATTCATGATTACTGTATCTTAAACTGTTTTGAGGTGAGAAAAGAACAGGCCCAACTAGGAGGGAGACTATCAAGTCCTACTGTTATCATGCCATGGATTTATCCTATGGTTGAGGTTTGAACAGGGAACTCCTAGAAGTTGTCATGCATAGGTTTCAACCTAAAAGTCTATCATCAAGTCCTTATCCAAGGAAATGTGAGTCCTAAGGGATCATGTCAATGATACACCAAAACAGACAAAGCATCAGCTTAACAGTAAAATGCATGCAATGCAAGTGAGGGAGGAAATGTGTGTGGGGCTTCAGCCTCCACAAGCTCATCTCAACCTCAAGCCAGGATGAAATAACATTAATCATACTGAAATATAAACAACATGCCATCAAGCAATAGACAGTAAACTGCAATCATACAGATAAAAATGAAATGAAATGCCATCAGGCAAACAAACCACATGGGCAAGGGAGCTGGGCTCTACCGAATACCCGCAAGCAAAGCCACGCAGTAACAATACAAGCAGAGGGAGCAACTCAACCTCTAGTGCAGTCATGCTCCTAGATTCTACCTATTCTAGATATGGACTTATTCTAATGCATCAGACCAGTCAAACAAAACACAGCATACAGAAAGAAAAAGAAGAAAACAGACAGACCAACTTCTCTCTCAACTTCAAGCTTCAGCTTCTCCATCAGCAACTCAGTCTTCAGACTTCAATCACTCTTGACAGACATCAATTGCTTTTCCAGGTTTCAACCCTACAACATGAGTTTCAACTCATCTTCTCCCTTAAGCTTCAGCTTCTTGATCAGCTCCACCTTCAGGCTTCACTATCTTCAGGGATCTTCAAGTGTCAACTTGATCTTCATGCTCTTCAAACTTCAGCTGGAATGGCAATACTCAAGGATTCATCCTCTTCAATACTCTTCAATGAAGTCTTCATCTTCATGCTCAGGCTCTGACATCTCTCAAGACAATCAAACCAGAGAAAATCACTTACTGGATAAGCTGGGGGATATTGAACTGCTTATTTGATCACCAAAGGTGACCTATAAGGGTTCAACATCAAGGAATGTTTCCCTCAAAAGTTCTACCTCCTAGGTATATAACTTATCCCTCCAAAAGAGAGAGGTGTATACCATGGAAGGACTTTGAATCATAGGGAGGAATGGAGGTGAATGATACCATCCATGTTTAAGAAAGAAATTATCTACATCTAAACTCTTCCTAATCCCTAACCCTAAAACAAAAAAAAAAAAGAAAAGAAGAACAAGCCCTCAAGCTCCTCAATGCATCTTCAAGTCTTCTATTATGCTCCACAATGCTCCACAAAGAGATACCAAGCTTTCCAAGTCACAGGGAAACTCCAAAGCAAAGCAAACTAAAGCAAACATGCCCTAAAGGCAACACAAACTATCAACCAATACAAAAATCAACTAAAAATAGCATACTATTATATTAAATCCTAATATAATTTCTAAGGGATCCTACATACCTACCCTTAATACCCATATATGCCCCATAGTCTAAATTGTCCTAAAAACCCAAAATCTAAAGTTATTATGGACCTATGTTGAAGTTTTAACCTAATTCTACACTACCTAGAATTATCTAATCAAAACTATCCTAAAAATCATCACAAAAATATGGAATTAATCCAGGGGGAACCTAAAACATACATCTAACTACCCTAAAAAGATTGAATTAAAAATCTAAAGGGAACTACCCTAACTAAATCCTACAAATTGAAGTATCAACTTAAAAGAATTAAAAATCAATAAAAGGAAAAAATATGCAAAAAAATATAAAAATGAAATAAAATGGCAATTTTATGATTTTATATTTTTCTTGACAAAAATATGAAAAGGGAGAAAAAACTCCCATTAAACAATATTGATTTTTCTATTTAATATGGATTTTTAAAGTTTGGAAAAATTTGGAGTAAAAATAATAAGAGAATTAATGCATGGGGTGCACAAAGTAACTATGAGCAGTTCAATATATTGATGGGCCCAGAACGAGGGGTGTGGGAAGTAAAGCGCGCTTGGCCCATTTAAACTCAGAAAAACAATGGAAAATCAAAAGGAAATTAAAACAGGCGCGGTGTAAAAAGCAGGAAAATATAGTTATAAAAGCCATTGGGCCTGATAGGGGGTGGGCACAGCAGAATTACTTAAGCCCAGCAAGCGCGTTTAAATGGAACGCAGCGTTTAGCTGCTGTTTCTGATTTCCCTCTCATTTCAATTGAATCTGGAGCGTTGGATTCTTCTTCAAGTCAAATGGTCCGCGTGCAATCCAACGGTAGGGACATCTTCTTCTTCCTTGAGACTAGGGTTTTCAGAAAACCTCCATGAAAACACACGCATGCACAGAACTTCGACCAGCTCGTTCTCCCTCATTTCAGCATCAAATCCCAACATGTAAAAACCAATCTTGCTCAGAATTTCACCATGAACACGACTATGGCATTGGATTTCATGGAAACAAACTCTATCATAGAACCCGAATGGTGTAACCTCATGAACTCAAAATGTGATCCATTTTCGACCTCAACCAAACTCAGCTATCTTTACATAAAAATGATCCTCATGTTACACTCATTAAAATCATCCATAAATCTTGCCTTAATACTCAATATATCACTCATTCTTACTCCATCAAGAAATGACATCCATTAATGAAACTTCTCCAATTGGTCTCAAACTCATCAAAAATGACCACCTAATTGTCTCTAACCAATCTAAACTAATAATTAACCCTAGCCATGCCTAGAATAGGGTGTAGGAATGATTTTGCATACCTGGCTTCTTGGAATGGTAGGTGATGAAACTCTTGCTTTCAGACCTTGCAACTCTTCAAGAATGCTCCCTAGATGATGAATATTCTTCTGTATGCAAAAGATTTGATGTAGAAAGCTTGTACTTCAAGATCCAATGTAATTTGCCTTCTTGCAAATTCAATGTGAACACCTTCAAATCTTCATCAATGGAGTTGCAAATCAATATGAACACACTCAGAAATGTTTATGGAGAAGGTTTGTGAAGAAAAAAGAGATGGCAATGAAGAAAAATCAAGAGATTGAAAGCAACTTGCAAATGAAGCTTTAGGGTTTCACTCTCTCTTCTCTACCACAATCAACACCAACCTTGCCTCAATGCAAGTCACAATGGTTATATAGAGAGGTTTAGAAAAGTCTAGAACCCTCTAGGATCTTCTAGTAAGAACTTGAAGTTTTCATGTCATGGTAATTTGCATTTTCACTTCTCATATCATGGTATCTCATGCAAAAACCCTTGTAACTTTGGTAACCAACTTGAATTTCTCCTTACATGAGATCTAAGATGAGATACAATGCATATCTTCCTTGTTTATTGAGTTATTCCTTGTTTTGGTTTGGTTCCTTCATGTGCAAGCAATCCAATTACAAAGCAACCCTATGATGCAAGCCTCAAATCAAAATTGTGGCTGAACCATTGTTCTTAGAATGTCATTTGAAGTCTAAATGACCTATCATATGACATGGTTTGGACTTGTAACTTGGGATTTATGATTTTCAATCTCACTTGAATTAACTTATGTCTCATTTTTAGGCCATTTTTATCACTTTTTTATATGAGCCTTTTCAACATCTCATGACCACCCTACTAGCCTTAAAACATCATTCTAAGCAAGTTTGATGTTGAAGATTTTTCCATTTGAAGCTTGGAAGTAGGAGGTATGGCCATATGCTTGAAATGACCTATAACTTCCAAATGACCAAAATGCCATTGGCTTGTCAAAGCCATAAGTTGAGTTCTACAAATCCTATCAAGGACTTCTAGTACTCTATACAAATATAAGAAGATTCTCTTCAACATTCATGTTGACCAAGAGACCATAGGAATCATCCTACTAGGGCAAACGTTGCCTGCAAGTTGGGTGACTTTCAAGGATCCAGATTCACATACCTCAGATGACCTGTAATTTGTCAAAACCATAACTTGAGCTCCACAAATCCAATCAAGGACTTCTACCACTCAAATTAAAGCTAAGAACAAGCTCTACAACATTCATGTTATGGGGAAGATGAGATGACAATCACATCTTGAGCTAAAACTGCCTTGAAGATAGGGATCAAACTATGGGATTTTACACTGTCAATCCTTAGAAACCCTAGCTTAAAACTTCTCAAACTCCTCAATCATGATGAGTTGGTCTAGGAATCATCCTAATAACATCTTAATACATCATTCCATGATCACATGGCCCTTGGATTGGGTCTCAAACCTCTCCAAATCTTCAGTTGACCTAGGGTTGACCCAGTCAAACCCTAATTCTACCATTCATGGCTGAATCTTCTGAATTCTTGTACAATGACCTCTCTAGGCTTCATGATGGCTTTCAAGACATCTCATGAGCTTTCTCAAAGCTTCAAGTTCACTCTCAAAGTCTCAGAATCATCTGAGGAGCACCCACAACTCTCAAGTTATGAGACACACAACCTTGGTTTCAACCAATTCCTCTGAGGATCTATTGAGCTTTCTGATAAAGGTATCCACCTTCAAACACTTGATGGGTAAATAAATGTTGGTCAAATTTTGGGGTGCAACAGCTTCCGCTATTCAAATGGCTTG